CCTGGTACCCCCAATACTCCAGTATTCACTCCAGCACCTCAATACCCATCCCTGGCCCTCTAGCACCCACCCCAACATCCAATATCTAGTCCCAGGACCCCAATACACCCTCCATCACTCCAATAACAGCCTCCGGCCCGGCCTTCTGCATTAAATTAACCCCTCCTCTCCAAAATCAGGGCCCATGGCACCCCCACAGGGCATAGATCGGAGGGCATAGCTTTGGGGAAGTCAAGGAAGGCGGTGTGTTTGCCTGGGTGTGGCACACACTTCGCCAGCTCAGGCCTAAACAGGGAACTGTGCCATCCCATGGAAGGAAACAGGTGTGGGGGGGGTTGCTGAGGGGCCCCACCCACGGTGAGAGTTGGACAGTGAATAAAAAGAAGTTTTTTCTCTCCTCTTTTGACAGGAAGGAAGGAAGGAAGGAAGGAAGGAAGGAAGGAAGGAAGGAAGGAAAGGAGTGAGTGATTGAGGAAGGAAGGAAGGAAGGAAGGGGAGGGCGGGAGGAAGGAGGGAAAGAAAGACGGAAGGAAAGAAAGCAGGGGGAAAGAGGGAGGGAGGGACAGAAGGAAGGAAAGAGAGGGAGGGAAGGAAGGAAAAGGGAAGGAAGAAAGAAAAAGAAAGGAAAGGAAAAGGAAGGAAGGGGAGAGAGAGAAGAAGAGGGAGAAGAGGGAAGAAGGGAAGGGGAAGGGAGGGAGAGAGGGAGGAAGGAGGAAAGGAAAGAAGAAAGGAAAGAAAAAAGAGGGACGGAAAGAGGGAGGGAAAGAAGGAAGGGGGAGAGAGAGGAAGAGGGAGGAAGGAGGAAAGAAGGAAGGAAAGCAAAGGAAAAGGAGCAAAGGAAGGGAAAGAGAAAAAGAAAGAAAAAGAAAGAAGGAAGGAAGAAAATGAGGGAAGGAGGGTGGAAGAAACGAAAGAAGGAAGGAAAAAAGAGGAAGTACATAAGTGAGGAAAGTAGGAAGAAGGAAAAGGAAGCGAGGAAGGAAGAAGGGAAAGAAGGAAAAGAGAGGGAGGGAGGAAAGGAGGAGGGGAATAAAACCAAACGCCCTCAGGGCTGGGATTACAGCAGCTGGCCGACGTTCTCGGTTCGTCCGGCGTAATCGATCGGCCATCCTACCCGCCAGGGTTGGCGTTTTTTTTCCTTGCAGGGAGGAGAACGGAGGTGGCGAAGGAGGCCAATGAATCAAGATGGGGAAACAAAAGACAAGAACTTTGGCTAAGAAAAAAAAGGGAGAGGGGAAGAGAGAGGAGGGGGGGGCGGGACCTTTGCAAACCACGTGAGGGTGGGGCTGCCATGAGTCACACACACCCCCAAGAGCACCAGAAACTCGGGGCCACCCCAGGGCACCTCATCAGCGGAGGGTGCCAGCCACCCGCCTCGGCCCTCACATGGCCGCCTCCCTCCACTCCGAAGGGACACAAAATGGAGCCTCCTGGCTGGGGGTTCACCAACTCCCAAGTCTCTCTCTCTCTTTCTCTCTTTCTTTCTTCTCCTTCGATCTTTCTTTCTCTTTCTATCTTACTTCCGTCTTTCTTTCCCTTCCCTTCCTTCCTTCTTCCTCTTTTTATCTTCCTCTTTTTTCTTTTTCCTTCTATCCTTTTAATATTTCTTTCTTTTCCTTCTTTTTCTTCCTTCCTTCCTTCCCTTTTCTTTCTTTCCCCTCCATTCCTTTCTTCCTTCCTTCTCCTTCGATCTTTATCTTCGCTCCTTCCACCTTTTTCTTTTTCCTTCCATCTTTTTTATATTTCTTTCTTCTCTTTCTTTCTTTCCTTTCCCTTCCTTCCTTTCTTTTCCTTCCCCTTCTTTATTTTCTTTTCTTTTTTTCTTTCTTTTTCTTCCTTTCTACTCTTTTGATCTTTTATCTTCCTTCTTTCCATCTTTCTTTTCCTTCCCATCCTTCCTTCCATCTTTCTCTTTTTATCTTTCTCTTTTTCCTTCCTTTTCCTTTTTCAGGCTGTTTTTGAGCTGCTTTTCTGGGCCTTTTCCAGGATGTTTTTGGGCAGGTTTTTTGGGCCTTTTCCAGGCAGTTTTCAGGCCGTTTGGGGGCCATTTTCAGGCTGTTTTGGGGGGTGTTTTTTTTGGCTGTTTTCAGGCCATTTTGGGGGCTGTTTTCAGGCTGTTTTGGGGGGTGTTTTTTGGGGCCATTTTCAGGCTATTTTGGGGGCTGTTTTCAGGCTGTTTTGGGGGGCCTTTTTCAGGCTGTTTTCAGGCGATTTTTTGGACTGGGTTTTTTGGGTTGTTTTTTTTCCTGTAAACAGCCCCAAAATGACCCCAAAACAGCCCGAAAAACAGCCTGAAAAGGGCCCCCCAAATGCCCCCAAAACTGCCCTTAAGGGGTACAGTTACATTTCCAGCGTTTTTCAGACAAGTTCCTGGGCATTATTTTTTAAAGAAACTTTTAGGGGGCCATCGCCACGTAAAACCGGGCCAAACCCTTACAAACTGAGCCCCGCCA